TAGAAGAAGAACTTAAGACTCAGTACATTAACCAAGTAAATAAGGCTAAAAACAAAATGTTTTAATAAATTTGACTATGCTCTGTCTTCTACAATAAATGACACATTCTTCTGCTTTGTTTCTCTATCATTCAATGTAAAGAGATAATTTTCACTGTAAATCATTTTGGACATATTCAATTTGAAGTGATCTTAATAGATTTCAAAATACTTTTGTTGATAAAAGCTACTAACACCATGAAAAACAAAGAACAGTGTAATTCCAGTGTTTAAAAGGCAGCTACCTGACTCCTCTCTGGAGTGTTTCAAGTGGCTCTGACAGTTTCAAAACTGAAATATAAAATGAAATTCTGTCCAATCTAGGAATTAGTTACACTACTCTTACACTGTTCATCCATGAATATAATGACAAAGATTTTCTCCTTGCCCAAATTCAAGTAAGGCTCCTCTGAGCTGTCTTCTCGACTAAGCCTCAACCTTGGCTATATAAAAAACAAGCACAAAAGATTTTATCCACCCCACTCTTCCCCAAACGAAAATACTTTAACAAACAGTAACATAGTTTTAACAATTCAAGGAGAGCTAGACTCCAGCCTACCTTGAAAGAATTTACTGTTTGTTCCAGGCAACACCTGAGATAGGCCACCCTTTCCAAGAGGTTTGACTAAAAAGGGCTCACAATGGTGGATCCTTCCTTTGTCCCTTTAAGATGTGTGTGTGTCCACTATTCAGAAGTGTCTTTCTCAAGGGCCAGAAAGCTATTCCTCTAAAATGTAATCATCAGGAAGGATGGGGTCTCAGGCTTTGTGGGAGAATAAAATTCTAAGTAGTTGAAAAAGCTGGCCTAATTACATTTACACTGATCAGTTCTTTGTAATTTTGCATTTCCCTGACTCCACTTAGTTCCACTCACCCCTTTTTCTACTCCCCTATTCTCCCTTTGAAATGCCTGATAACCTCTATATAAATTGAAGATTTATATCAGGGGCTTCCCTGATAGCTCAGTTGGTAAAGCATCCACCTGCAATGCAGGAGATCCCAGTTCGATTCCTGGGTCAGGAAGATCCACTGTAGACGGCTACCCACTTCCAGTGTTGCTAGGCTTCCCTGGTGGCTTAGCTGGTAAAGAATCCACCTGTAATGCGGGAGACCTGGGTTCGATCCCTGGTTTGGGAAGATCCACTGGTGAAGGGAACAGCTACCCACTTGAATATCCTGGCCTGGAGAATTTAATGGACTGTATAGTCCATGGGGGTCACAAAGACTCGGACATGACTGAGCGACTTTCACTTTCACTTTCTAAATTGAAGATGAGTTCAGCTCGAGCTGGAACTTCTTCCTTATTGCAAAGGTGTATTACTGACTAAAATATATCCTTACCACTAGTGTCTGGCTTTAACTTTGACAACAGATTTTTCCTTTGCAATTTAAGAAATAGTAGGTTTGAGAGGAAGGTTCAGTAGGAACAGTAGGAACAGTAGGTTTGAGAGAGAGTAAACAATCTGCCTGCTGACACAGGAGATGTGGGCTCAATCCCTGGGTCAGGAAGATCCCCTGCAGGAGGAAACGGCAACCCACTCCAGTACTACTAGCACCAAGGAAATGCCATGCGCGGAGGAGCCTTGGGGCTACAGTCCACGGGGGCACAGAGGGCTGAGCACAGCTTAGCAACGAAACAGCAGCATGGCTGACCAACAGTTCATACTACACCATGAAGGCTGAAGAAGTAAATACCTTCAAAAATAGATTAAAAAGAAAACTATTCCAATGAATCAACCCTTGGCTCTGCCCCAAACATATCAGGAGAACGGATACATAAAAACATGAACTGATGAGAAGAAAATGTCAAGGCCCTGAGCACAGGAAGAAAAGAGGGACAATGTTCCAGTGCTAAACCAAGAGGCTGAATCAAAGGCAACCAAGGATTTTATCAATTATGAGTATATCTGTAAATTCCACAAGGTTGTCTAGAGGCATATTAGTTTTCTATTACTTCTATTTAAAATTAAGCAGCTAAGAATAAGAAAATCTGTACTCCAGTTCAAAATCTGCGATTATTTCCATTCTTGACCAATTCACTTCTGCTTAGTCGCTCGGTCGTGTCTGAATTTTTGTGATCCCATAACTATAGCCCACCAGGTTCCTCTGTCCATGGAATTCTCCAGGCAAGAAAGCTGAAGTGGGTAGCCTTTCCCTTCTCCAGAGGATCTTCCCTACCCAGGGATCAAACCCATGTCTCTCACATTGCAGGCAGATTCTTTACTGTCTGAGCCACCATGGATGCCCCCAAGCAATTAATTTAGGTTAATTTATTTAATCAACAAAATGAGTGACTGGGATTAATGCTCACAGGTTTCTCCTGCATTTAAGGCACTATGATTTGATAAAACTTTTAATTTTTGAAGCTAATTTACTTATTTACTTCCCTTTTTGTTATAAGCTAAGTTGTGTCCCCCTCCTGCAACCGCATCCCATTCATACGTTTAAGCCCTAACCTCTGGTACCTCAGAAGGTGACTTTTTTATTTGGAAGATCTCTAAAGAGGTAATTAAGTTAAAATGAGATCAGGGTAGTCCTAATCCAATGCGACTGCTGTCCTTTCAAGAAAAGGAAATTGGACAGCTTGGTGTGCTGCAGTCCATGGGGTCGCAAAGAGTCGGACACAACTGAGCAACTGAACTGAACTGAACTGATGCACATACATAGGGAAAATCACATAAAGATGTAAGGTAAAGATGGCTAGTCACAAGCCAAGAAAAGAGTCTTCTGAAGTAACCAACCCTGTCCACCTCTTGATCTCAGACTTCTATCCTCCAGAACTGTGAGAGAGTATATTGCTTTTGTTTAGGCTACTCAGTCTGCGGTGTTTTGCTATGGCAGCCCTGGAAAACTAATACACCTTTCAATTATCAAAAAAAATTAAAAAAAATACTGACTGCCTAGGGTGTACAGGATGTTCCTACTATAATTTCTGAAACCTCTGACTTCAGACATGCAAGAATGTTGATAAAATTTTGTTTTTCCTCTGAGAACATTCTGCCTAATTAAATAATAAGAGATAATTTTAAGTATATACAATTTATAAGAGTTTCATTTCCAAGTATATAGACATTACAACCTTCCCACAAAATCACTTTGGCAGATAAACATTATAATCTTTCTGTAGAGAATAATTACAGTCTTTATAGGAAGGTTCAGTACAGCCTAATGTAACAGATTTGGAAACAATCTAAATGGCAACAGTAGGAACATGGTTTAAAAATTATGGTTTGCGGTAAAATATTATGAAAGTACTAAAATTGGCTTTCAAATAATACCAATGAATTACACAGAGAAATGCACAAGATATATAACATTGAGAGTTAAGATGAATATGATCCCAATTATTATACATGTACACAGGTAGACAAAATTCACCAAAGTATCAGCACTCATTATCTCTAGGCTGTGAGATTATGAGAAAAAAACCACTGTACTAGAAAAGAGGTCCTCTGTAAAAGCTTAATCCAGAGTAGAAACAGCATATAAATAGGTGAAACCAAACAGTCAATTCTGAAATAATACAGGTAAACTGAGAGGTATTACATATTTATACCAATAATGCCACAGAGCTAAAGTACAAATTAAGCTACCATCAGACCAAGCAACATACGTTTGCACACAAGACCTACTACTTACCCCTGTCACAGAGATGAGCTGAATGACCAAAAGCCGTAACACAACAGAGCATTAACTTCCAATGCTTAGGAGGTTTTTTTAAAATCACTACACATATACATTGAGGCTTCCCAGGTGGCACTGGTGGTAAAGAATCCACCCACAGAAGATACGGGTTCAATCCCTGTGTCAGGAAGATCCTCTAGAGAAGGGCATGGCAACCCACTCCAGTACTCTTGCCTGGAGAATACCACGGACAGAGAAGTCTGGTGGGCTACAGTCCATGGGGATCCCAAAGAGTCAGACATGACTGAAGTGACTTAGCACGCACTCATACATAAAAATGAGTGTGGCTTTTACATTTTCTTGACTCATAACTCCTTATGTCCAAATACTATACTAAAAACAGATTTTTCAGTTAATATGAATTTTTTGTTAAAAACGGAATTTTTTAAAAAAAATTATCATTTTAAAAATAAGCATTTTAGCACATTTGTTAGGAATAAGAAAATTTCTAAGGAACTAAGACGATGAACATAAAGATTTACAGTTGTATTTGAGTGAACTATTAGAAACTGCCTAAACATCAAATAATAAGAAACCAGTTAAATCATTCAGTTTTTAATACTCTTTAGATCACACAATATTTTGAGAATTTCATAAAACGAATTTCTCAGAATTAGAAGTAACAAGTATATACACCCAAATTTTCGTATACCATGATAGAAAGTTTACAATAATTAAACTACTTTTAAGAATTCTTATGCTAGAAAAATTTTATGTAATGGAAACATAATGTTCATATTATATTCTTAAATGAAAAAAGAAGAGGATAAACCAATAGATACAAAGAAGGAAAAAAATGTGTCTATAGTTATCTCTGGATAGTAAAAATTAGGAAAATTTTTATATTCCTCTGTGATTTTCTATAGACTCCATATTTTCAAAACATGAACTAGATAATGAAAAAAGAAAATTAAAGAGTCAGAATCTATTTTGTACAGACAAAATTGTTATTAGCTAAGAAACAAAGAGTAGGCTCAGATAATGATCAGTTTTCATGCCTTTGAATATAAAATAAATCACTGATGATCACTGATAAAAGGGTATACTCACAGATGAATGGGCTTATTTTGTATAAATTTCTTGCATAGAGAAATGCCAGTGTACATATTTCATATTTCAAATGATGTTATAAATTTTTAAAAAGTCATAGGTAATAAATGAATCTCTCCTTTTATGAATACAAAACTTTTTTTTTTTTTTTTTGCTTTTAGACTTCAGGCTATTTTAAGAATGTCTAAAGTAAAATTAAAAAAAAAAAGATTAGAACAAAAAACTTACATTTTCTATTGTGTATTAACAGAGCTTGTTTCAAATCTACTGTTGCTCTTCCTAACAAAGCATCTGCTTTTATAGTATGATGACTCCAAACTCGAAATTCCAATGTAGACTGTGGGGTCACATTTCTGTAAAGGTAATATTTTAACAAAAACACAGGAGAATACATTTACTTCAATAATTTTCAAAAAGACATGAATTCATATTTAAGGAAAAAATACTACATGAAACAGTAAACTAGCTGAATTATAAATAAAAACATTTATTTTCAAGTACATTAGGAATTCAATACCTAAACAATTTCTGTAATTGACAAAGCAAAACACCAACAATACATCAAAAGTCTTATTAAGACTTCACAATAACATTAATTCTACTTGAACAAATATCTAAAGATTTAAGATAGCTGACTACATTATAATATTTTTACTATACATAAATTTCTAACACTGTATTTCAGAAATGCCAAATGGTTTTCTGCTCTATTTATTTTTACAATAAGAGAAAATATGATTATATGGAAAAAGTTTGTAAAACAAAAGCAAGAATCATTATGCTTCATTTCTAAAGAAAATAAAATTAACCAAAACTTTTTTCACATTTAAAATTGTCTAGTCACACTAAAATATAGAATTCTTTACTTTGAAGTTATCTTACCAAAATAACAACAGCAAATCACCAAAAAACCCCACCACCAGAAAAACATTCCCAAAATAATACTCTCTTGAAAAGTTTGCATTCTTTGCACCAGATACTTACACAGTTAGCTGTTCGTCCCATTTTGGATTAGAAGAACTACTGGATTTTGCTGTTTTCTTACTTTCTCCATCTGCAGCTACTTCTGTATATATTGCTGTTCCAAACCAGTTCTTTTTTCTTTTTAGTTTGGCACTAGAAACTAACAAGAAACATGATAACCACTAGTGAATATATTTAGCCACAAAGTGTGTTTGTGCTAAGTCACTTCAGTTGTGTCCGACTCTTCGGGACTTCCCAGGTGGCGCTAGTGGTAAAGAACCTGCCTGCCAATGCAGGAGACCTGAGTTCGATCCCTTGGTCGGGAAGATTCCCTGGAAGAGGGCATGGCAACCCACTCCAGTATTCCTGCCTGGATAATTCCACAGACACAGCAGCCTGGCAGGCTACAGTCCATGGGGTCACAAAGAGTCAGCCGCGACTGAAGCAACTTAGCACACAAAATAGTATAAATCAATACGAATGGAATTGTGCTTCTTAAGCAACTCAAACTCTTTTTGCTGGCAAGATGAAGAAACAATACAAAAGGGCCATTGTTAATGCCTAAGAACCATTTGACTTTAAGTAGTTTTACTGAAATATAATATAGCATATAATTCACCCATTTAAACTGCACAATAGTTTTATTATATTCACAGGAGTTGTGCAACCATCACCACAAGCAATTTAACATATATTTATTACCCCTAAAAGAAACTTCATACCATTAAGCAGTCACCCTTCTATTCCATCCTACATCCTCCGCCCCACCAGTCCTAGGCAACGGCTCATCTACTCTGTCTCTATAGATTTGCCTGTTCTAAACATTTCAAATAATGGATTTAGATTAGAATAACATGGTCTTTTGTGACTGCCTTCTTTCACTTAGCATTCTAACTTCATCCAAGTTGTAGCATACATGAGTATTTTCATTCATTTTATTTACACATAATATTTCACTGTATAGGCATACCACTTTTATTTATCCATTCAGCAGCTGATAGACATTTGGGTTGTTTTCATTTTTTGGCTACGCTGCATAAAATACTGCTATAAACATTCACTTAGAAGGTTTTGTGTACACGTCTGTTTTCATTTCTCTTACCTAGCAGTGGAATTGCTGGGGCTTCCCAGGTGGCTTTTAGTGGTGAAGAACCCGCCTGGCAATGCAGCAAACTAAAACACACAGGTTTGATCCCTGAGTTGGGACGGTCCCCTGGAGAAGGGCATGGCAACCCACTCCAGTATTCTTGCTGGAGATCCCACGGACAGAGGAGCCTGGCAGGCTACAGTCCATAGCGCTGCACAGAGTCAGACATGACTGAAGCGACTTATCATGCATGCACACATGGTAATTCTGTTGAAAAATGGCTATTTTCCACAGTGGCTATACCACTTTACACACCCAGCAGTAGTGTATAAGAGTTCTGATTTCTCCAAATCCTTGCCAATTCTAAGCTGCCTCCAGCATTAAGAGAAAGGTACGTGTCTTCACAGCTATTTGTAAGGCCTCCTCAGACAGCCATTTTGCTTTTTAGCATTTCTTTTCCATGGGGATGGTCTTAATCCCTGTTTCCTGTACAATGTCATGAACCTCCATCCATAGTTCATCAGGCACTCTGTCTATCAGATCTGGTCCCTTAAATCTATTTCTCATTTCCACTGTATAATCATAAGGGATTTGATTTAGGTCATACCTGAATGGTCTAGTGGTGTTCCCTACTTTCTTCAATTTAAGTCTGAAGTTGGCAATAAGGAGTTCATGATTTGAGCCACAGTCAGCTCCCCGTCTTGTTTTTGCTGACTGTATAGAGCTTCTCCATCTTTGGCTGCAAAGAATATAATCAATCTGATTTCAGTGTTGACCATCCGGTGATGTCCATGTGTAGAGTTTTCCCTTGTGTTGCTGGAAGAGGGTGTTTGCTATGACCAGTGCGTCAAGGAGCAGTGACTGCGAGGTTGCAGGAGAGCCACGAGGAGCTACTCCACATTCAAGGTCAGGAAGGGCGGCTGTGAGGAGATACCCCTTGTCCAAGGTAAGAGAAACCCAAGTAAGACAGTGGGTGTTGCGAGCGGGCATCAGAGGGCAGAAACACTGAAACCACAATCACAGAAAACTAGCCAATCTGATCACAGGACCACAGCCTTGTCTAACTCAGTGAAACTAAGCCATGCCGTGTGGGGCCACCCAAGACAGACGGGTCATGGTGGAGAGGTCTGACAGAATGTGGTCCACTGGAGAAGGGAATGGCAAACCACTTCAGTATTCTTGCCTTGAGAATCCCATGAACAGTACGAGAAGGTGAAAAAATAGGACACTGAAAGATGAACTCCCCCCCACCAAAAAAAAAGATGAACTCCCCAGGTCAGTAGGTGCCCAATATGCTACTGGAGATCAGTGGAGAAATAACTCCGGAAAGAATGAAGGGATGCAGCCAAAGCAAAAACAATACCCAGTTGTGGATGTGACTGGTGTAGAAGCAAGGTCCGATGCTGTAAAGAGCAATATTGCATAGGAACCCAGAATGTTAGGTCCATGAATCAAAGCAAACTGGAAATGGTCAAACAGGAAATGGCAAGAGTGAACGTCGACGTTCTGGGAGTCAGCGAACTAAGATGGACTGGAATGGGTGAATTTAACTCAGATGACCATTATATCTACTACTGTGGGCAGGAATCCCTTA